TTTATAGGTTAAAGTGCTCAATATCAGGGATAGAGTGTATGTTAATATAAAATTAATATAAATTTAATATAATTATAATTAATATAAAAGTGGATAGTCTGTTTCATGTAACAGTCTGTTTCATGCTAAATGTAATCATCAGGCCCTGTGTGTTGTGTTTTTCCTTGACTTTTTATATATATTGGTCAGTGAGGCATTATGGGTAGTTTATTGTATTGTGGCTAGTCGATTATATTATTGTAATGGTTATTTTGGTGAGCATGCTTTCTTAATTTGTTTATTATTTACTTAGTTTATTTGTTTGGATTAATTTATTTTACTTGTTTTTGTCTATTTATTTATTTTCATTTATTCTCGTTCATTTTTATTTTTTTTGATTTTTAAGTAGCATAGTAAAAATTTGTTTTCATGTCTGCATTTGGAGATGAGTTCTGATCCTTTATTTAGCAGTTTGTTTGGTCTGAGAAGGTAATTACAGGTATTTTTTCCTCCAGCAGAGTTTACAGCTTTTGGGTTAATTTTTGTACATATATATATATATATATATATATATATATATATATTTTAGAACAATAAGAAAATAAAAAAATTTTAAAAATTTTAAAAATTAAAATCTTTACACACACTGGGTTGTAGATTAATATTCTTTCATTTTTTTTTATTATTTTATTATTATTCCATTTAGATTCCTCGAGTAGTTTTGACCGAAATGGCCATCATCGGGAGGAGAAATATTTCTGCATACTGGTAGCAGTAAACTACAGAAATGAATGTCTTGATGGAGAAAATGAACTTTTGTCTGTAGTTTTCATTTGTTTTTTTTATTTTTTTATTTTTTTATCTTCTTAACATGAATCTTTTAACATTCCTTGTGTTGGTATATATATATATATATATATATATATATATATATATATATATAGAAAGAGAGAGAGGGGGAGAGAGATATAGAGAGATAAACAGACAGACAGATAGAGACAGAAAGATGAAAAAAGAAAGAGTAACAAAAGAGAGAAAGAAAGTTTTGTGATATCAACAAACACTTGTTGCCACTTTTGTAATGCTCATTGTAGTAGAGGCTTTGTAATTGCAGATACAACTATAATACACCATTGAAGAATACTGGTGTTAGACGCCTTCAAATATCACTCGCACTAATGGTACTTGCTCAATAATATTTGCTCGAATAGTAATCTGTATAGTGATCTGAATAGAGAAATTGTATAGTGAGTAGAGTAGAGAATAGTAGTCCGTATAGTAATAGAGGATAGACTAGAAATAGTGATCTGTGTAGTAATAGAGGATAGAATAGAAATGAAGATCAATTAGACACACACTACCTCCCATATATGCATTTCCTTTATGGTCATGTGGTCTACTAATTCAATAATGGGATCGCTTGTGTTTGCTCACTGGTGATCTATGTTCAAACTCAAGTGTCGGCAGTGACACTTTATTCGTATATAACAGTAAGACAAAAATAAAGAGAGAAAGAAAATGTGAAATGTATATAACTTTTTTGAAGTCTACTGTGTAATTATGATTGGCCATATTATCAACAGTTGAAATTCCTTTCTTGTCATTATGGGCTTCATTAATCTTTCTCATTAGCACTGGCTCATTGTCAGCCTCTTGCAGGAAGATGACAATCTCACTCTTTGCTGTCTTCAATTGCTCCTATGAATAATCAGCTACCTGAGAGTTGTTGGCCTGGTGAATGGAAGGGTCAGAGTGTAAGCAGAGATTAAGGGTTAGGAAGTTGACAAGTATTTATCTTCAACTAGGTCAACAATGATACTACCAATCTTAGATCTAGTGTCAAGTGACCACAAGAAATGACCAGCGATGAAAACTGAAAACCCGACTAATGGGAAATCAGGGGAAATCAATGATGACTGAAAAGGAAAGGAGAGAGAAAAAAAGAAAGCGGGTGGGGAGTGGAATTAAAATAATAAAAGTATAGTAATAATAAAATGGCATAAAAAAAATTAAATAAATTGTTCAGTTCAAAATTTTGGGGAGGTTACCTGGATTACTAAACACCAGATGAAGGTTAGAGAGTACAACTGGCCAAAATGTTGTGATCACAACAACAAAGGTGAGGACAACAATCTCCATGTAAATAAAGCAAAAGAAATTAAAATATTAGCATTTGAGAGAGAGAGAGAGAGAGAGAGAGACAGAGACAGAGACAGAGACAGAGACAGAGAGAGAGAGAAAGACAGAGAGAGAGAATAAATAAATGGTTTTTCATTGCTTTCTATTTTTCATCTATACGCATGTCTATTCCGGACATTTTTTTTTTTTAAGCATTACCCCTCGAGCAAGGTGTGAAGCCACTAGGATGCAGGGGGTTGCAGAAGATTTGGAGTGAGAGCAGATAGGAGAGATAGAAGAAAGGATGAGGAGAAGGATAGTGGATAGATCAAGGTAACTGGAGATGTCGATTGAGATTACACTTGAATAGTTGGAGACTATAGCTCTCAGGGAAGCAGTAATTGGGAAGGGTGTTCCACAGGCGAGAGGTGCGAGGTATGAAGCTATTGGAGTAGAAGAGATGGCTACATTTAAAAGTTTCTACAGTGTAAGGGTGGGAACGGGATGCCAGCCTTGTAGGGAACTTGAATTCATGGAGTCTGGGAACCAGTGAAAGCAGCTCATCAGAGCAATTACCATGAAAGTATTTGTAGAAAAGACAGAGAGAGGCGACGATGCGTCTGAGAGAGTGACCGTAGACGAGACGCCAGATCAGGGAGTTATAGTTCTCCACAACTTCCTGTCCATTGTAGTTCTGATCAACGTTTGTATTTTACTTTCTATCTCACTCCCTATTTTGACATCCATTAAAATAAGCTTGTTATGTAGGTTACTTGCTGATTTCTTCAGTCCCTTTTGTCTTCAGTATGTGCTGTGGGATTCAAATTCCCCAAGACTCATTCTGCCTTGTTGCTCTTGTAGACTGATTGCTCTCCAAAACAGGCATAGACTGTTTTACCCATAGCTGGAGGATGAAGAGATGGATTCGTGCCTGTATCAAAAGTATAGGAGCAAACTGAATACAATAGCTTCAACTGCGATTTGAACTCAACTTGCTGAATCCTTTCCCCCTGCCAATAAACATTACGTCACCTGCACCTCCTTATGTATTAAGCAATGAGAAAAAGACAGATAATAGAACAAGACTAAGAGCAACACTTTAGATAAAAAAAAAATGATTGCTTGTATTACTGACATTATTTGGACTGTTATCCTCATCTTCAATGCCATATTCACAACGTTTCGGCCGTTGTACACTCCGGACTTCTTCAGGTGAACGGAATTTTGAATCAAACCCTTTATTTTGTCTACCGGGGTAGATTGTTCTAGTTCCACTTGCCTTGCCTCTTCTGGATGTCTGAGTTATTTCCCTTTAACTCAGCTCTCCAAGTTTTTTGGTTCACCACTGCTGCAGCCTGATATTGAACTCGCAACTCTTTGGATCTAGTCACTGGATCTAACCAATGTCTTTATCCACTGGCCATGTTTCCTTGAGGACATCTGGGTATGAATTTCTGGGAAATAACTGAGACATCCGGAAGAACATGGCATGTTGAACTAGAACATTCTACCCTGGTGGACAAAATAAAGAGTTCGGTTTGAAATTCCAATCACCTGAAGAAGGCCGGAGTGTACAATGGCTGAAATGTGAATATGGCAATGAAGATGAGGATAACAGTTTGAATAATGTAAATAATACAAGTAATCATAATACCTCATCTCAGAGATACAGACAAAAAATGATTGATTTGTTTTTATGGCTTATCAACCTCTTGCAGGTTATTTAAAGCAAGAAAATATTTTTAGATTTCTAAGACATTTTTGGGGATAATAATGATTTACTGATACAAGTCCTTTTAATTAACCCATAGCTGGTGGGAAAATAGGTGGATTCATAACTTTCACAAGGGTATTTGCACATATGTAAATATAACAAACCTGATTGGAATTGAAACTCAGCTCTCTGATTTCCAATTCTGAGCCGTTATCCAATACACCACCCACACATCAAAGATTACAGCACCTGGTATTCCCAACACGTCACCTATCTAGGTACTGACTAGTCTAGACCTTGCTTAACTTTGATGCAACAACAGAAAAAGAAAAATTTCCGAAAGGAATTTCTATAACAAAAAGAAACTAAAAATTAAAAAAAGAAAGAGCAACATTTAGATAATGAATGAAAAATGACTGAATGAATGAATGAATGAGAAATGAATGAATGAGAAATGAATGAATGAACGAATGAGAAATGAATGAATGAATGAATGAACGAATGAAAAATGACTGAATGAATGAATGAATGAGAAATGAATGAATGAGAAATGAATGAATGAATGAATGAATGAGAAATG